GCGGGTTCAAATCTCGCCCGTGGTATGGCTTGTTTGCAATCGTGTCATTACGATTTCGTGAGTCATGTTGACGGCAGTGAAGGGACTTGAGCTAGAGTTCGTCACGGCCACGCTAGTTGGAGATTCGTCTGTGAAAACTTGCATTTGTGGTCACAGTGGTGCCTATGCTAACCTTCCTATGGTGTAGAAATATACCTAGTTGGACGAATCTTATTGTGGCTAGCTGGTCCAGTGGCTAACGCGACGGTCTGGAGTTTTGAGATTCTCTGACCGCGGGTTCAAATCCCGCCCGTGGTATGGTATGTGGCCCACCTTATGGACCTGATATACTTTCACTAGTGAGCCCCACCCACTTGTGACTACATCTGCTACTGCATTAAGTCATGACCTGCCGGCAGCCGAATTCTCTATGTAATCTCTTGGACAGATCCTTCCCAGCCTTTTTTTCTCTTTTATTACAAAAAAAAAAAAGTGAGTTCACTAACATATTGATGAATTGAGAAAAGCTCCCGATTAAGGATTCGGGGTTCGATCCCCGGACGAGTGGAAATTTTGCATTATTTCCTTACACTTGCTGTCCCTGTTCACCTAGCAGTAAGTAGGTACCCGGGTGTTAGCCAACTCTCGTGGGTCGCATCCTGGGGAGAGGATTATTAAAAAAACCCGGTGGAAGTAAGCCAGACAGTGGCTTCACTGCATGATCCTGGGTTACTAACCCTCCAGGCTGACAATCAGAATACAATCATGGTCCACATGTATACTGCTGGAAGCCTGCTGTACCCGGCGGAATTTTATGCCAGTCACTGCCCGATCAATCAAATGTTCCCAGTGTTTTCATAATGTATCCATTGACAACCAGATCTCCCCACTTGATGTACTTAATATACCTGTTATTGATCCCTGGGACTAGCATCGACCCCGCGGCCCGGTCCTTGACCAGGCATCCTCGTCAGGGACTGGCCAATAATATAAATATAATTAATAATCCGTTGAACACTTCACTTCCTATTCTATACTTTACTGTTCAAGGTTTTGGTCTGGCTGTACCAGACTCAGCCAGGATTTACCTTAACTAAGAAATTCACCATCCTACAGTTCCAGTCCTCGGCGGCTTTGATTTCGCCCCCAGACATTCGTGTCCATTTTCTGCGTGCTACGTGTTTCGTTGTCCGTGCCACGGGCATGTTGGGCAGGCCGGGCAGACCGGCAGGCTGGGCACTAAGTGGACATATAAACATTAACCCACCCAGGAGCGATTTTTTAAGCACCCAATAGAAATAAGTCATTTTGTCTGACTTTTTTGTTATCCTAGGTAATTTACACACATTTTACTATGTATGATAATTTGTGTAACTGTATTTATGTGTACCTGTACCCGTAGCTCGATTTGTTACGCGTTCAGCTCACACACTGAGGTCTTGGGATCGATCCCCGGTACGGGTGGAAACATTAGGACGTGTTTCCTTAAGACACCTGCTGTCCATGTTCACCTGTCAGTAAAATAGGTACCTGGGTGTTAGTGGACTGGTGTGGGTCGCATCCTGGGACAAAATTGACCTAATTTGCCAGAAATGTTCTGCATAACATTGATGTTAGCTATGGTCTGTATACTTTGTACATGTACTTTTAGTAAATAAAGATTATTATTATTATTATTATTATTATTATTATTATTATTATTATTATTAAACGAACTTACTACCCTTCTGGGACCTCTATTCTATGACCCTAGTGAAAATAAGTCCCTTTAATTTTTTTGAGCTAATCTATGTAATTTACACGCATATTACTACGTAAAAAAACGTAATAATATATTATTATTACTATAATAAAAAAGAAGCGCTAAGCCACAAGGGCTATACAGCCGTAATAATATAAAAAAGTGTTAAATATCTAAATAAACATTCTAATATTGTAACTTCCTAAGAGAGTACGAGCCGTCATCGCCCTTACAACCAGCAACAACACCTGCGGTCCTAAGACCGTCTTAATCTTTCAACCCAACAACAACAAAAACAAAACAGTATTCCTTATTATTTTTCATTTCTTTTAACTTAATAAAAAAGAATCTGTATTATATTTCACTCATAAGACGTTACTTATAACATATATTTTAACCTGTTAGGGCTTTGATTTTATTTTACCTTTATATTTAGCCATTCTAATTTCTTAATTTTTGATTAATCAACGTGATTTATTTTGCATTTTTTAAAAATAAGCTTTATTAAGGTTTATTAAGAATGACTTTATAGACAGTATTATCTATTTATACAACGCTTGCATTAACCACATAATTGTATAGTGATACAGGAAGATTTAACCTCGGGGACCCCAACGGAAATTTAGCTGTGTAACCCTTGTGGTTTAGGGCTTTTTTTATAATAATAATGGAAATAAAATTCACTTTAAAAGTCACACTATTTGACTTTTGGGTTATCGTATTTTAAAACAAAATTATATACCGTCTATAACATCTATGTGTCCTCAAGACTCAGGGAAAAATAATTGTATATAATGTATATAATCACTAAAGATTTTTTTCTTATGGAATGTTGGATATATTAATGAGAATTAACTTTTATTTTACCCTGGGAATATAACCATCTGATTAATATAACCCAACTACAATTTTCATAATTTATATTGTTGGCTCTGGATATATAGGGTTTTTCTGCATGTATGCTGTATAGCCCTTGTGGTTTAGCGCTTCTTTTTTTATTATAATAATTTTCTGCATGTACACCCAAATGTTATTTACCTTTATAAAAACCATTGTAAAAATAAATTATTACTATTAGCACTATTAAGATAAGATAAGATAAGATTTCATTCGGATTTTTAACCCCGGAGGGTTAGCCACCCAGGATAACCCAAGAAAGTCAGTGCGTCATCGAGGACTGTCTAACTTATTTCCATTGGGGTCCTTAATCTTGTTCCCCAGGATGCGACCTACACCAGTCGACTAACACCCAGGTACCTATTTGCTGCTAGGTGAACAGGACAACAGGTGTAAGGAAACGTGTCGAAATGTTTCCACCCGCCGGGAATCGAACCCGGGCCCTCCGTGTGTGAAGCGGGAGCTTTAGCCACCAGGCCACCGGGCCACCTACTATGATAGCTTAATCTATAGTCCTACCTCCTGGTTTAGCGCTTAGTTTTGCTTATAATAATAATACCGTCCTATCCTTTATGTCTAAGACCAAGCTGTTTTTAATTTGTATTTATTTAACATTAAAGATATATGTTAATTTGCTATATTGTTAATGATTTTTGCCGCCACAGGATAACTAATTTATGTAATAATGTTGGTAGAATTACTGACAATATGTAAAGTAAAAGGACACAAGTGCAACTAATGTGGCATTTTTATTGTGGCAACATTTCGCTCTCCAGGAGCTTTGTTAAGCCGTTACGGCTTGACAAAGCTCCTGGAGAGCGAAACGTTGCCACAATAAAAGTGTCACATTAGTTTCACTTGTGTCCTCTTACTTTACATGTAACTAATTTATGCTCGACTTTGTTGGCGAAATGATTGTTACTTTTTAAGCCGACTCAGTAAGAAATAAGATTTTGTTCGGATTTTTAACCCAAAGGGTTAGCCACTCAGGATAACCCAGGAAAGTCAGTGCGTCATCGAGGACTGTGTCTTATTTCCATTGGGGTTTTTCAATCGTGTCCCCCAGGATGCCACCCCACACCAGTCCACTAACACCCAGGTGCCTACTTACTGCTAGGCGAACAGGGACAGCAGGTGTAAGGAAACATGCCCAACATTTCCACCCATGCTGGGGATTGAACCACAGACATTCAGTGTGTGAGACGACAGCATTGCTTATTGTAATAAGATGTTTGTAAACAAATTACAGAATGGGTGGGAGTTGAACCCATGGCGAGTGAGTGCTAAAACTCGCAGGCCAGTGTGTTAACTACTGGACCAGCTAGTTCTAACATTAGATTCATCCAACTAGGTATATTTCTATATACCATAGAGAGGTTAACATGGGTCTCAGCTGGCCAAGTGGCCATGGTTCAAACCCCATCTGCTCTGTGATAAGTAAGTTTTAGCTATAAAGTGACAGCTGTGCTGTATGACTCTTATGGGTTTAGCACTTAGTTATAATAATAATATAAATTACAAAATAAACATTTTTAGTTTACCATTTTTTGTGCTAACACATTGGTTTATATTACAGTAGTTTATCTTAGTTTCTTTGCTCACCAGTACAGTACAAGATTTAAGTAACATCATCTTCACTTATGCTTTCCTCAATTTAGGTATATAATTTATTTTATTGCTTTGGGGGCAGTGACCTGAGACTGATATGCATATACAGCATCTATTTTTGGTCTTCCACATTTTTGTAGGCTTTCAAACTGAGCCATTGTTCCACCCCTTGGTGACAATCACCAGCAGGTGGAACATAGGAACAATGGCTCAATTTAAAGCCAATATAAACATGGAACACCGGAAAGGTGCTGTATATATGGGGGCTTTCCTGTAACTGATATCTTCAGTAAAGTCACAACCTGCCCACAAATTAGGGATAAACCTAAAAGACTTTTTTCCCCATCTTGGATCATTATCAAATTGCAAATGATGGTTTAGAATGGACCAAAATGTCATGGATGGTAGTGTCATTTTCAATTTGTGGGCTGACTGAATTGTTCCAGCCATGATGATACAACTTATATTATTTTTTGGTAAACCTAGATAAATTGTGTGTAAAACCCCACTGAGCTGTAATCTTGAATGGGGCATAAGTTCAGGGAGACATCTCCATCATATTATAAAATATTGTACAGTATAGACTAATTAAGTAAGACATGTGCAACACTTAGGTATCATTATTGATATCTGAAACATTTCATCAATATAGTACCTAAGATTTGCACATGTGCCTTACTCATTGATAAATATTCTGCTTAATTACACATGATTGGTGTTTCATACCTGCAGGTCATAATTATATAGATTTTTCACCCCAATTCATCTCTTGCAGACTTTATATGACCTGAGTGTGTGAAAACAGTAACGATGCGGCTGAATCGAATATGGGGACGGTACCGCGAGAGGATAATTGTGGCAGGTCTTGTGGTTCTGGTTATCATCATTATGGCACCTCCCAAGCTTGTACACAATATGGTGAAAAGAGAGGTGAGGCTGTTGCTATCTAACATGGATATAATTAAGTCACCTATATAAAAACTTTAAAGTGAGACTGAATCCTAGACATGATCAATTAAGAAGACATTATTTAGAGCATAGATTAATGTAGTAGTATTATAGTACATGCACAAATTTTTTTAAATGCTCGGCTGAGTCTTATATGCAGGGCATTTCAAGAAATAAGAGAGAATTAGATACATGAGCTGGTAAAAATGCCCTATAAATATTTTTATGTTTTAAGGCAAATTTTACATAAGTACAGATGCTGCCCTCGTTCTTACTACTACTAACACTTATGTATCTGGAAGAGGTTACTATAAGTTTATGAGTCCAATGTTCTTAAATCCCCCTGAGGAACTGTTGAAATATCCTGCATTAAGCCAGCATAAATCATTGTAATTATTCAAGTTGGAATACAGATTTCTTTAACTGTATGTTGTACAGTAGTCTATGCATTTGAATTATGGTTGACTTAAATGAATGAGGCTGAAAAGACCTGAATTTTAAACACTTTTGAGTGGAACTTCTATCATCCAAGCATTGTATGTTCTCTAACACAGTGACAGAGTGGAACTTTTACACTCTGCTAATTATGAACTCCAAGCAACTGCACTCTTTTTACTATTTTTTATATAACCACGACTGCATATTCTTTGCAGTAAGTTGACCTTATTCTCAACAGAATTTGTCCAATAATAATCCTCGATTTATAGCCAAGATAAAAGGATGGGTAGTGACAGTGGTTCACAAGGTCATCTGAGGTGAGATGTCCAGGCACTTCTTGCAAGACAGTTGTTGAGTGAGTAATAGAGACTGTGTTACCTAACTTGGCAACCCTACCTTGGTGGGGAAACATCCGGTGTGGTAAAAACAAAATTAAAAAATGGATTTTTGACCAATTGAAAAGACTGTATTAGTGTACTGATGAAGAGATAGGATCGGTAAGAAGCTCGTGGATGATAATTTGGCATGCTGCCATATGGATCCTGTATGAAAATAAAGGAGTGGATGCTTTTCTAACCCTTATTGCTCTAATGCTTATATGTAGTACATATTATAGAAATTTTTACAAATTTGCAGTTCTCTGAATTCACTGATTTTCATTATTTGTGCTTTCACTGAAAGATCTGTAAATCAGTTTTAAAGTATGGTCCAGTATTACTGACACTCAACATTCATTAGAAATATTGGGCTACAATGAGGATTTCTGAGACTTAAAAAACCTGCATGTATTTAGGGATGACTGTTGAACTAATTGTTTATGTACCATATAATTATTTTCCCAATTTAAATTTATTACGGTTATTTCTATGCTTACATGAATCTTTGGTAGGTTGGGGGACCTTGGCTATCCACCAGAATCAACTAAATGTTTACATGTGTGAAAGAGCAGGCATGTGATGATAGTACTGTAAATACACTAATAACCCGCACATAGGAGAGAGAAACTCGTGATGATGTTTCAGTCTGACTTGGACAAATTAATGGTCCATGTCAGACTGAAATGTTGTCATAAGTTTCTTTGGCTGTGTGTGGGGGTTATTTTTGTATTGTTCCAGTCATGGTATTGTTCCTCTTTATTATTTAGTACAGTGGACCCCCGCTTAACGATCACCTCCTATGCGACCAATTATGTAAGTGTATTTATGTAAGTGCGTTTGTACGTGTATGTTTGGGGGTCTGAAATGGACTAACCTGCTTCACAATATTCCTTATGGGAACAAATTCGGTCAGTACTGGCACCTGAACATACTTCTGGAATGAAAAAAATATCGTTAACCGGGGGTCCACTGTATTATAAAGGTTCCACCATTGTATTCTACACATGAATCTCCATGTAGCACATGTTTAGGTGATGAATTGAAAAGTATAACTGGAAGCAATGATTGAACGTCATTTCTATTAATATACTGTATTTTGTTTTGAATGACAGGATGAAGGTGTGGTAGTGATAGATGGAGTAAGGAAGAAGGACTACAATGACTATAAGTACCTGAAGGAAGAAGTACTACAAACTGGCACAGGTGTCTGCCCATTCACCTTCCTAGTTCCCACTTTAAAATATTTTAACAAGCATTGAAGATTTACTAGTATTCAGTGTTAAGTCACGTTTTTACACATATTTTGTTGAAATCATAATTTCATGAAATCGTATTTTCAAAACTATTGTTAGAACAATAGTTTTGTAGTGGAGTGTTTTCTGAAAATCAACTCAAAAGACAGGCACACAAGGGTTTCTCAGTTGTCACTGATTTGCTACATCAACTGTGACCTTAATCTAGTTCCATTTCCAATTTGTAGACGACAAGTAAGTGTGACTTGTTCCAGTCACAATATTGTGACTTTCATTCTGTGTATCAGGAAATAATGATATACTTGCATTACACCCAAAGTTTTTCTTCTTTTATGTAAAGACCTAAACTTGTGTGGATCACTTATCACAAGGATTGATGTAAAATCTGATCCTTCATTCTTTAAGTGCTATACAAACATACCACTTATTATACTAAACTAATTATTTAGTATTTTGCAGAAAGCATATATACAGTGGTACCTCAGGATACGAACAGCTCAAAACTCGGCCAGTTATGTAAGTGTATTTATGTAAGTGCTTTTGTAAGTATACTTTTGGGGGTCAGAAACAGACTAATCTAATTTACATTATTCCTTATGGGAACAAATTCGTTCGGTATCGGCACTCTAGCAGCTTTCTGGAACGAAAAAAGTTTGTATCCCGAGGTACCACTGTACTTACTGTACAATGTAGTAATTGTTTTATAACAGATGACACATGAATATCTTGGTAATAAATCATCTCTAACAGGTGAAAATGGAATTGCTGCTTCTCTTTCCCCTGGGCTGGATAAGGAGAAAGAAGCTCTCTACAAAGTGAATGGCTTTAACGCTCGTCTGTCTGATGACATTGCTTTAAACCGCTCGCTCAAAGACATTCGTCATCCAAAGTAAGCGTATTACTAACTCTCCTTTATTTTTAGGTCAAAATATATAATGAAAGTTCTTTGTAGAGCTGAAATTAATGTTTTTTTAATAATGTTTATGACAATAAATATCAAGTGGTTGAAATAGTTTGAGGATATTGATGCAGTTTTTCTTAACTAAAAATTTGCTTAATTTTTAATACTGCTGATGAATTTTTTATATTTAATCAAAATGTACTGGTAAGTAAGGGTTAAGTTAAATGAATTGGACAACAGCTTAATAGAAACTGACCCCACACAGAGGCTTGAATGCAAATGTGGTAAGCCTAATTCATGGCAGTCATTTTAAGTAGTTGGCCTGAGAGCTGGAACTCAACCCCTGAGAACTCCAGGAGTTAAATTACTCCTGCATTTTATGCTGCACGTACATCATATGTAACCGAGCTCAAAATCTTTTTAATGATTTTCAAGATACCACTTAAAGTCATTAATGCCATTATTATCTCTCAAGTTTCATGGGGAAGCGGGGATGAGGAAGCATTTAACTTGTAATAGTGGGTAAAAGGGTCACTACATGTCCATGCTATAGGCTATTAATGTCACAAAGAAGACAAAGGCACAATACCTTGACTGGAACAATAGACAAATAACCCACACATTTGCCTGGTCACAGATTGGGCTGCAGGGGCATTGACCCCCGAAACCCTCTCCAGGTATACTTCCGGTATAGGAGAGAGAAGCTTATTATGATGTTTCAGTCCAACTTGTAAATGGTCCAAGTTGGACCGAAATGTTCTATGTATTAATATCCCAAGTAAATTTTTTAAAGTACTGCTCTGAAAAAAAGTACTACAGTGCATTATTACAGTAATAATTTGATCCACTAGGTGTAAAAAGAAACTGTATATAGCGGACCTTCCCACTGCAGCAGTCGTGGTGCCTTTCCACAATGAGCACTGGAGCACTCTTCTTCGCACTGCATTTTCAGCATACAACCGCTCACCAAAACACCTGCTGAAGGAGATCATTCTCGTTGATGATGCTAGCACGAAAGGTATAATTGTGTTCTTGGTATTAATTATATTTATTTATATTGTTTGTTTCATGCCATCTTCTAAGAGATTTACTGAAGTCTACCAACAATATTTTTGTACAACCCATCCTTGTATTGATGAGGCTTCTTACTTTACAAATGTTTGACTTATGATATTTCGACTTTACAATAGTGTGATAGCACCATTGTAAAGTTTAAATATCACCATCATACAGTACTGTAGTTTACATTTATTATTATTATTATTATTATAATCAAAAAGAAGCGCTAAGCCACAAGGGCTAGTTTACATTTATTGATAAGGTAAACTTTTATTCATATATTTACTTTTCAATACTGGTATTTAGTTATAGTTATTTGTTTATTTACTTATTCAGTGACAGTAGTTATTTAGTTATTTATCATGTCATTCATATTCGACTGACAATATTTTCAACTTACGGTGGGTTCTTCGGAACATAACCCAATCATAAGATAAGGAGCACCTATGCCATTTTCTTGCACATTACAGATTTTTTATTTCTGAACAGAATATTTAAATTTTAGATATTTTGAGTTTGGTTTGGTTAAGTGCATTTAACCTACATGCAAAGAGATTGAATAACTCGGACTACTTTTTCCTGGTTAGTTTAAAACAGTTGAAATAATCATCTTTACAGATTTTCTAGGTAAGAAACTGGATGACTATTTAGCCGAACACTTGCCCATTGCTCGTGTGGTTCGCCTGCCGTCTCGTTGGGGCTTAATTCGTGCCAGATTGGAAGGAGCAAAACATGCAACGGCAGATGTTCTGATATTTCTTGATTCTCACACTGAATGTACAACAAACTGGCTACCACCACTCTTAGGTAGGCTGTTTAACGTCTGTTTTAAGAATACATGTATATAAATGAAAGATTCTGTAATTGGATTTCACTCCATTGTTAATAAAAATACTAATGAGTAAAAGTCACAATACTGACTATGCCTGGATGAAGTAACAGCTAACTTACAAATTGGAGATGAAACTTGGATGACATTTTGAACTATCCTGGACCATTATCAAGTTACTCACGACTTAATAATAGTCTAGGTAGGACCAAAATAATGTCCAAGATTCATTTCCACTTTGTGGATTAGTTGTAGGATAATGTAATCGATTGAATGTTTGCTGTAATTAATAAAAATAGGACTGAGAGTAGGAGTACAGAGTTTGGCTTGTGCAGTGCTTTTTTTTTTTCATTTAAGTGTCCTCTAAGATAACTTTACTGTATTTATTATTTTAATTGTATAAATTTCTTCAGAACCAATTGCCATGAATTATAAGACAGCAGTGTGTCCTTTCATCGATGTGATTGACTTTGAAACTTTCGAGTACCGTGCTCAGGATGAAGGACGTCGCGGTTCCTTTGACTGGGAGTTCTATTACAAGAGATTGCCAGTGTTACCAGAGGATGAGGCTAACATGCCCGAACCATTCAAGTTAGTTGTGATTAATATACCGTATTTTTTGGCATATAAGGCCCACCTTTTTTCCCCTCAAAAATCTTTGAAAATAACCCTGCACTTTATATGCTCAAGGTCAGTAAATAAATTAAGAGGGTAATTAGCCATTGAATATGATTATTGATTTACCATTATGATACTTCTGTTGGGCGCCTTATATGCTGGAAAATATGGTAAGTACATCTATACTTTGGAAATTTTAGACAGAAGCCTATTGCCAGACACATGTGATTCTATTAATGATTCCATCTTTCTCATAAAATCTAAGTTTAATCACACTAAAGCAACCCTTCATCCTACTAATAATTTTTTAATAATTGTTATTTTCCAACTAGGAGTGTGACCCAATGAAGAAAAAAACTTGTCCTAAACCCCTCACCTTGATGCTGAGGGGCTCTTAATCCAAGAAATTGGACCTATTGTCCCTTTCCTTGGATCAAACTCCCCCCATGAATGTAATAATTTAATTGTCCTATAACAAACTTGACTTTTCACATATGAATTAATAATTACAGAACCTGTACCTGGGTTTTAACTATAAAAAAACTTGTTATTTATTGTAGCAACAGAAATACAGTGGACCCCCGCATAACGATTACCTCCGAATGCGACCAATTATGTAAGTGTATTTATGTAAGTGCGTTTGTACGTGTATGTTTGGGGGTCTGAAATGGACTAATCTACTTCACAATATTCCTTATGGGAATAAATTCGGTCAGTACTGGCACCTGAACATACTTATGGAGTGAAAAAATATCGTTAACCGGGGGTCCACTGTACTGTATTTCATTGGAAACATGCACAAATTTGGTATAACACAATCTTTAATGACAGTGTGATGTCTATGCAGTGGGTGAAATGTTGTCAATAAAAGATTGCATTATGCTCCATTTATGTTTGTTTCCATTGTGTGGATAATTATAGAAGTTCTCTTCAGAAATAAGAGATGACAAATGATTATCTAAAATATTTTTTAACACTTGGGCCATCTCCCACCGAGGCCGGTGACCTGAAAAAGAAGAAAGAAAAGTGTTTCTTTGTTACATTTAGTAATTTATACAGGAGAAAGGGTTACCAGTTCCTGATTATCTAAATGTTCAATAATAATATATTTTCACTTCAACAGGAGTCCAGTTATGGCTGGTGGATTGTTTGCAATCAGTTCCAAATTCTTTTGGGAACTGGGCGGATATGACCCGGGGCTGGACATATGGGGCGGAGAACAGTACGAATTGTCTTTCAAAGTATGGCAGTGCCACGGAACCATGGTTGACGCTCCATGCTCCAGGATTGGCCATATATATCGCAAGTTTGCTCCTTTCCCCAACCCTCGAAAAGACAATTTCATTGCCAGGGTAAGATATGTTGTGATTTAAAATACACTTTCATTTTGCATTGCTAATCAGTATTACTAGAATATTATTTTGTGTGAATGTATAATACTTATTTCTGTTATCATATCAGGCCGATAAATCTTTCATATTTTGATAATTTTTTCCAATTTACAAATCGTGGCAGCTTTCATGCCATTATGCTTTAAACAGTTAAATATAAAGGCATGAAATATATACCATCAGCTGTTTCAATTTTTTGTTTGGAACAATATTTTTTTTTCTTTTTTTTTTCAACAAACTGGCCGTATCCCACCAAGGCAGGGTGGCCCAAAAAGAAAAATGAAAGTTTTTATTTTTAAATTCAGTAATTCGTACAGGAGAAGGGGTTACTAGCCCCTTGCTCCCGGCATTTTAGTCGCTTCTTACAACACGCATGGCTTACGGAGGAAGAATTCTGTTCCACTTCCCCATGGAGATAAGAGGAAATAAACAAGAACAAGAACTAGTAAGAAAATAGCAGAAAACTCAGAGGAGTGTGTATATATATGCTTGTACATGTATGTGTAGTGTGACCTAAGTGTAAGTAGAAGTAGCAAGATGTACAACCTTGCATATTTATGAGACAGAAAAATGGACACCAGCAATCCTACCATCATGTAAAACAATTACAGGCTTTCGTTTTACACTCACTTGGTAGGACGATAGTACCTCCCAGGGCAGGACAGTAGTACCTCCCTGGGCAGGACGGTAGTACCTTCCTGGGCAGGACGGTAGTACCTCCCTGGGCAGGACGGTAGTACCTCCCTGGGCAGGACGGTAGTACCTCCCTGAGCAGGACGGTAGTACCTCCCTGAGCAGGACGGTAGTACCTCCCTGAGCAGGACGGTAGTACCTCCTAGGGCAGGATGGTAGTACCTCCCTGGGCAGGACGGTAGTACCTCCCTGGGCAGGACGGTAGTACCTCCCTGAGCAGGACGGTAGTACCTCCTAGGGCAGGACGGTAGTACCTCCCTGGGCAGGACGGTAGTACCTCCCTGGGCAGGACGGTAGTACCTCCCTGGGCAGGACGGTAGTACCTCCCTGGGCAGGAGGGTAGTACCTCCCTGGGCAGGACGGTAGTACCTCCCTGGGCAGGACGGTAGTACCTCCCTGGGCAGGACGGTAGTACCTCCCTGGGCAGGACGGTAGTACCTCCCTGGGCAGGACGGTAGTACCCCCCTGGGCGACGGTAGTACCTCCCTGGGCAGGACGGTAGTACCTCCCTGGGCAGGACGGTAGTACCTCCCTGGGCAGGACGGTAGTACCTCCCTGGGCAGGACGGTAGTACCTCCCTGGGCAGGACGGTAGTACCTCCCTGGGCAGGACGGTAGTACCTCCCTGGGCAGGACGGTAGTACCTCCCTGGGCAGGACGGTAGTACCTCCCTGGGCAGGACGGTAGTACCTCCCTGGGCGGTTGCTGTCTACCAACCTACTACCTTACAACAGTATTTTTTTTTTTTTTCAACAAGTCGGCCGTCTCCCACCGAGGCAGGGTGACCCAAAAAAGAAAGAAAATCCCCAAAAAGAAAATACTTTCATCATTCAACACTTTCACCACACTCGCACATTATCACTGTTTTTGCAGAGGTGCTCAGAATACAACAGTCTAGAAGCATACACATATAAAGATACACAACATATCCCTCCAAACTGCCAATATTACTTTTACTTATTGTTTACTTTTGTCAAATATTACTTTGCTTATTTACCATTAAAATCTTTTATTTGTTGCATCCAGTGATATCTCAAATATTCTTTGTACATTTCTTGATTTATCATCCTTTTGTTTTATCTAATATGTATTCTGCTCACTGGGAATTATAGCAGTGCAGTGACAGAGTAAATGGCAAAACACTGAAAGCTGGTCTCTGTGTGTTTGTAGATTTAACCATCATTTTTCTTACAGAACTATCGTCGAGTGGCAGAAGTGTGGATGGATGAATATAAAAAGTTCCTTTACATGAGACAACCTGGATGGTTGCAGGTGAGCATCAGTGTCATCAACAAGCACAGAGTGCATAAATATTGTGTATCTTACTCATAGCATCCTCATCACTCAAACTTGCTAAAATTTGGGGGTCTGAATGATAAGGCAGTCTGGTACTCATATGGCTAATTGATCTAAAAATAATACCTGAAATATAATTCACAGCTATCCTACACTTATGAGAGGAAATTTATGACAGTGTTTCAGTCTGTATTATTGTCAAGATACAACTAAGTGAGAAAAAGCTGTTGTTTCACATGGTGAGGGTAGAAACATTGGACGTGTTTCTTTACACCGGTTGTCTATGTTCCCCATCAGTAAAATGGGTACCTGGGTGTTAGTTGATTGATGTGGGTCGCATCCTGGGACAAAACTGACCTAATTTGCCCGAAATGCTCGAGAGCATAACAAGCTGCTTTCTGTATAGTAGTATGCCATTGATGTCAGCTAGGCCTGTATATCTTGTACATGTACTTGTAGAAATAAAAATATATTATTATATTATTCACTGTGAGAACCTCTTCAGTTTTCTGAAGATGGTCATAGGGTGAAGCTGAAGTGTAAAGTACTTGATTTCTGTTTTATTGTCTTTAAATGGATCTGCTTGTGCCATTGTTTTATTTTCTCACAGGGAAGTGTTAAATCCACAGGGGGGTCATACAGTACCTGGGGAATGAAAGGTAATCAGGTTAGCTCCAGTTCCTTGGACAAAAATCTTTTATCAGCATTAAGGAATTGCTTTGAAATGTTTTGTGTCATTGACCAGCATTTATTACACTTATGTTTGGATAGTAGTTTAGAACTGTGTATTGTGTGACTATTTCTTAGTGTGAACAAGGTAACATTTATGAAGGGAGTCAGGGAAACTGGTTAGCCAGACTTGAATCCTGGAGGTGTGTAGGACATAACCTGCACTCTGAGGGAAGGGTAAGGATATTGCAGTTCAGGAGGTCATCTGAACTGTGATGCCACCACACTTCTGGCAAGACAGTGATTGAATAAATGATGGTGAATGTTTCTTCTTCTTTAGGTCACCTTACCTAGGTGGTGTGTTGACCAATGTGTTAACCAAAAAAAATACTCAAATATAAACTTACTCATGATTTCCAGGTTGATACTGGAGATATTAGTGAGCAGCTGGCTGTGAGGGAGCGTAACAAGTGTAAACCTTTCAAGTGGTTTATGGATAATGTGGCATTTGATCTTGTTAAACACTACCCTCTTATTGAGCCACCAGACTACTGTAATGGAACCGTGAGTGACAAAAATGATTGCTGTTTTTGTTGTTACAAAATAAACACTTGATGGCCATCATATATTTTGACTCAATGACATTTAACTTGTGCCTTGTGTGTTATAAAATAAACACTTGATGGCCATCATATATTTTGACTCAATGACATTTAACTTGTGCCTTGTGGAGGCCACTCCATAAGTGATGCTTCCTATTTTAGCACTGTGCTTATACGTTTTTATATACAGTATATGTACTATAAATTAGTATTACGTTATTTATAAAGCATTAAATCTGTGTGGGGTCATTCAATGCGAAGAGGACAGAAGTGAGAGTCTCCCTCCACTTTAATTGTGGTTCAGTCTATGTCCATTCAGGCTCTTGGTGAACACAGGATTGTTTGCTAATGCAGAACTTGTAGATATTGAGAAAATGCTGGATACAATTCATTCATCTTTTTTTTTTTTTTTTTTTTGAGTCTCTCATTGTATACTTGTAGATAATATTTAGTTGCCAATGGAAAACATAGTTATCAGATACAGTTAAAGTATAAAATTCAGTTGGATAATAAAGGCCACAATTTCACTAATTATTTCATCAACAGATAAAGAGTGTTGCCGATCCAAGATTGTGTGTGGACACCGAGATGAAGGGGCAGTTTGACCGTCTGGACTCACTTGGAGAATGTGGACCTGGTTCACAGTATCAGTTTCAACTCACTGCTTTCAAAGTAATGTTTTGTTTTGTAAATTATTCATATTGATTTTCAGTTAGATGTTTGATGCATGGCCCCTAGGATTAAAAATGAGACATACATTTTTATTGTTATTTTTGATAACAGTGTGTTCTCGCTCGTCATCATCCATCAAAGATTTATTAGGAAGAGACCGGGGAAGGGGCGGAGAGTGGGAAACAGTGTAATAAAGTGTATGTTCGCAAGACAGCCAAGAGCCTCACACAGTACCTTGGTGGAAACAAATATATATGTAATAGAGATAATTTGAATAATTCTTGGGTAATACACAGGATTTCACAAGGGCACTTGGGATAGAAAGATGCCAAATTGGTCATGAATGAGGACAATCTGTAAAAATGTTGCTGCCTTGAGACTATCTTGATCTTAGTTTCCAACACAGTAGTCCAAAACGTGGGTAGTTTTAGCATCTCAGAAGTGCTCCCTAACTAGATTCTACCCCACCACACTGCATAAATAGGTAATGCCTGTTAAGCACATTATTGGACTTTACCCTATCTAGGCCACCTGTTTTTCTTTATATATTCAGGGTTTGCGTTTTCTGTACTGGATCGAAAAATACCCCAGTGAGCAAATTGTCTTCTAATTAAATGTCTTAAGTGTTAAATTTGTGCCTTTATTCTACAGTTTTTCAGTATTCTACCAATATTTGTACCAATACTAATGATTATTAAAATTAATATATGCTTATTATTTTTTTTTATTATCACACTGGCCGATTCCCACCAAGGCAGGGTGGCCTGAAAAAGAAAAACTTTCACCATCATTCACTCCATCACTGTCTTGCCAGAAGGGTGCTTTACACTACAGTTTTTAAACTGCAACATTAACACCCCTCCTTCAGAGTGCAGGCACTGTACTTCCCATCTTCAGGACTCAAGTCCGGCCTGCCGGTTTCCCTGAACCCCTTCATAAATGTTACTTTGCTCACACTCCAACAGCACGTCAAGTATTAAAAACCATTTGTCTCCATTCACTCCTATCAAACACGCTCACGCATGCCTGTTGGAAGTCCAAGCCCCTCGCACACAAAACCTCCTTTACCCCCTCCCTCCAACCTTTCCTAGGCCGACCCCTACCCCGCCTTCCTTCCACTACAGACTGATACACTCTTGAAGTCACTCTGTTTCGCTCCATTCTCTCTATATGTCCGAACCACCTCAACAACCCTTCCTCAGCCCTATGGACAACAGTTTTGGTAATCCCGCACCTCCTCCTAACATAACATCTATATTGCTAGAGGAAAACAAGGTTAATTCAGGCACTTGATGTCTCTTCAAATATGTAGCAGTAATTTTAAAATATCTATAATGTATATGTTGCAAAGTAAATATAAAAAAAAAAAGCACAATGCCATATATACATATACTGGTTTCCTTCCCTTTGCATTTGTGCGATTAGTTTATGGTCCAAGTTGTACCAAAATGTCATCATGAGTTTCATTCTACATGCTGGTTATCTGTGTATTGCAAAGTAAACGTCATAACAGTGAATGAACAGACAGGAGTTGACCCTATCCTCTCACTACATGACAAACATACAAACATGTTTTTAATAATCTAGTCTGTGGGAGGTACAAATCAACTGCCAGATGTTACCCTCCTGTTTCTGCAATTTTCTTATTTATGGACAATGGCTATATGTGTATTTACCAGTAGCGTAACTTATGTTAATATTAAGTAACCTACCTTAACCAAATTCATCATAACTAAAATGTAACTTTTCTCAAGGTTGAGATCATTTGAAAATTTATAATAAGTAAAATGTAAGAAAATAATTGGAATAATATAAGATGAATCGGAGATACGTGTATACGTTGTATCTGAATGAAGACAGTGATTGTTCAGGGATGGGGATATCTTAATGCTATAGAAATACAGTGAACCCCCGCTTAACGATCACCTCCCAATGCGACCAATTATGTAAGTGTATTTATGTAAGTGCGTTTGTACGTGTATGTTTGGGGGTCTGAAATGGACTAATCTACTTCACAATATTCCTTATGGGAACAAATTCGGTCAGTACTGGCACCTGAACATACTTCTGGAATGAAAAAATATTGTTAACTGGGGGTCCACTGTACTTTTGAAAGGGTAATAACTTATTATATTATGAGAAAATAAACAGACTAGAAAGAATAGGATAAAGAAGGGTATGGTGGCTCAGATGGAGAAAATACTAGAAATTTAAATTAGCAAGAGGCATACTAACAGCTTTTCATGATTTTCTTGCAAGGATATACGTCCACTCAAGAGCCACAACTGCTTTGATGTACCAGACTTGAAGGGAGATAAAGCTCCTGTACTGCTTTATGGTTGTCATAAAGGACTTGGTAACCAGATGTGGAAGTATGATATGGTAAGTTCCAACTGAATGTAAGTCTGCTTCCTGTTAGTTATCCTATTGGATAAATATACATTTGGTCTCTTATGACATGGGTTCTTTTATCAGTAATTCTCATAAAGCAGTGCTTATAAAATGAGTAATAATTTAAATTCAGAACCAACTATAGCATTTTTTTCTTAAGTTATGCTCAGTGGATTTACTAGACCCCATGAGTTATTTTTTCTTCAGCTCCATGTTTTTATAAATTTCCATAGTAACCCTAACACTATACCTAAGGTAATATAGTTATCTTAATTTAAGAAGGTTTCACTTCTTCCAGTTGCATGACCCTTGTCAGTTTAGCGCTTTATTTGATTATTATAATAATAATAATTCGCTTCTTGCATCCCCCATATACAAAGGCTGAAAGTATTTTAATAAACTGTAATCCTGTGATGAATAGTTTTGAAAACCGACAAGTTGAAGAATTGAGACACTTACGCAACATATGGGAATCTTTATTGAAGAAACATTTTGCCACACAGTGGCTTCATCAGTTCAATATAAAGTAGAAATGGGTAAGGAGAGGAGGATATTGAGGTAATCAGTCCCTCAGCCTGGAATCGATGTGTTCAGTCCATCACCATTTCCTATAAAAGTGATGGACTGAACACATCGATTCCAGGCTGAGGGACTGATTACCTCAATCTCCTCTCCTTACCCATTTCTACTTTGTATTGGACTGATGAAGCCACTGTGTGGCAAAACGTTTCTTCAATAAAGATTCCCATATGCTGCATAAATGTCTCAATTTTTCAACTGTAATCATATTACATGTCAAAATTATTCACTGTTTGAAAACTAGAAGGCTTCCAAGTCACATATCACATTGGATAAGAGGCTTCGAAGAATCATTCAAGTGAGAACACACATGGACAGTCAAATTCCTTACCTCTGGATGGTGAACAATAGTTCCTCTTGAGTTGCTCTCGTAGTCACTTGCATCTACTTCTTCGAGTTTTACCTATAGAGACAAAGAAGTTGTGTTTTATTGTACTTTAAACTTAAAAAAAATTGAGATATTAATCACCTGAAGAAACACATTATTAACAGGTATGTCAGTCGCTCTGGCAATGCTGAAAGCACCTGAGAAAAATAGTGTCAAGTACTCTATTAAATAGCTACTTATCATTAAATAATTTGAAAATGATTTTTATTCACCAAGGTATGAGTCATCAGATACCTGGCCACTCCATGGAGCACAACAAACATACAACCCATTTTTGAATATTAATAATATATTTAACACATTAGTGGGCCTTTCCCACCAAGGCAGGTGATCTGGTAAAGGAAAACAAGCACACTATCACTTATTCCCATATTTACAATATGGGATAAAGTGTGGAAAGATGAAATCAAAAGCAGTGGTTTTACACTTGTACAGTATTGTATCTACATCCAGCAAAATCTTTCCCATGTTGTATTCAGTTTTAATAAATTTGCCACAGTTACTTAAATTTTACTTATAAGTGAATTTATAATAACCAATTTAATATTTACTTGTTTTTGGCATTGTATGACCCCTCCAAGTTTAGTGATTTACCACAGATATAATAATGACAAGACAGCAATTGAATGAGTTATGGTGATTTTTTTTTTTTTTTTTTTTTGAGACAGACTACTTTGGCTGGAGATGGCTGGTGTGCTCAAAACAACAATAATAATTGTTTATTTTACAGACGAACCAAATGATAAACTTCGGACACCATGCCACCCACTGTCTGGATTGCAGCATTAGCAACAAGGAAATCTTTGTCTCCCCCTGCGATTTCGACTCAAAAACACAAAAATGGATATGGAGTTTTGTAAACAAAGAAAGGCTGAGCAATTATGATAATCTTGATCCAAAACCTTAAGCAGCATTATCCTATTATTATTATTTGAAAGCTTATTTTCAGTACTGTACAAGATTTATAATTTACCTGCCTCGAGGCTTTAATTAATATTGTAATATTTAATGTTCGCAATTAACCTGCAATTTGAAGTACAATAGAAACTAGAGACAAAATTTTGATCTTTTCTGTACCACTTTCATATCACACTTTCATATTGGTTAATGATGAACAAACTTTTTCTACAGTTTCTCTCCAAATTGTGAGTTAATAGTGAATTGTTCCAGTAAGAGTATTCTGACTTTTATTCTTCGATACTGAAACTTGTTTACTCCCCAAGGTTGTAGGTCGCAGACAGTTTGTATTGAATATTGTTGGCTACTGTACAGAAGGTCTTGGAAATTCACTCTTGCTCACATATCAGAGAGGAAATTTATGTGATATTTTGGTTTGTTTTGGACCATACAAAGTAGCTACCAACTTGATAATGGTCTGACTGAAATATCATATGAAGTCACCTTAAGTTAACAGGTTAATTGTAAATTATTCCAGTCATGGCACTGACTTGTTCTACCCAGGGACATGGTACAATGAAATGGTATTGTACTACAGTTCATTTTTGTATTATACATTCCAACATTTACCAATCTTTAAAATAATACTAGTTTTATAAAAATGTATATGGTGAAGATATTTTTGTATGTTAGATTTTATTGTTGCCAAGGAATTAATATCAGTTATTTTTAGATTCTTTCTGTGTGATACATAAAAATTAGACTGTCAGGTAAACTAATACAAATGTTATATAAAAAGCTATATTTTCTTAATACAGTATTACAGTATTGCATAATAATAATCATTCATCAATGGCAGGAATGAACAACATTTTCAGTCACCAATTAATAATAATAATGAGTGAAAAATAAGGTATGTTTGGATTACACCTACCATCCTACTTATGACCTGCTCGACTTACGACCACTCAACTTACGACCGTGTTTTTTATGCCAAATTTCTTGGAAATAAACAACTATTTGTGTTGTACACAGTGTTTATCCTAAACCTTACAGTATAAAATACAGTGCTAACAGCATAAAAAGTAAAGTAAAACATGAAATACCAAAATAAAACAATAAAATAAAGTTATTACAAAAATGTGATGTTGATATTCAGTAGTAAGGTTCGACTTGCGTCCATTTCGACTTACGACTGGTTTCTCGGAACCAAACTCGGTCGTAAGTCGGATGGTAGGTGTTCTAGTTTGTATAATGAGACAGTGGCAAAAGATGACATGTTGAAATAAAAATGCTGGTAGCAAAAAATCCTTTAAATGAGGCCATGTATTGGCTCTTTCCTGCATGCTTGATAAAGTCCAGTTTTTGGCAAAATGTATGAAAATAATTCTCAGCTACCAGGGTCTATTTTCTGAGTGTAACAAGTCTTCCCACTTGGAGTCTGCCTGGAGGGTGTTCAGGGGGTCAACATCCCTGCAGCCTGGTCTATGAGCAGGCCTCGTGGTGGATCAGGGCCTAATCAACCAGGCTGTTACTGCTGGCTGCACAGGATCCAGGTACATTTTAGTCACTGATAGGTTAACTTTTTTTTTTTTTTTTTTTTTTTTTTCACTACATGGAAGGTTGGATGAAGCCCACCTCTCACAAGTTATGAATCTCTGATACGAGGTAACTTGGCCCTTATATAACACCATCTTTATCATGAACCTTAGTTTTGACTGTTTTTTCAGATGCCTCTCCAAATACATAGTCAAATTTTTAAATCTTCTGAAAACATGACTTGGTCATACACTATCTGTCTCCTTACTTTTCAGTTCCTGATCTCATTTATGCTTTCTCTTTTTTTTCTTTCTCATTCATGGATGAATAAAAGATGGACCAAAAAAAATAAAAAATTCTGGTTTTCGTGTCCAATGTCCATTTGTTAGTTTTGAAAACTACAGTAAAACTGTACCAAGAATTTAACTGTTCATCACTGATTTCTTTTGTCACTGGTATTATATTCTTATTCTTTGTTGTAAATTGAATCAAATTTTCCAATCAAGTGCATGATTTATTCCAGCATTTATAGTTGTGTCAATTATTGACTTACATTATCCCAAAAATTTACTCTTAGAAAACATTATATTTGTCTGACATTTTGTCTTGAACAACAGACACCCATTGGTGTTTCTGTGTTGGAGTGAGACTATACAGCAGAGATTTTTTACAAAAATACTTATGTAAAAATCTTGTTTTACAGTCACACTCACACCTTAGAAAAGATTGGCAAAAATTTAGACCTAAATTATATTTTGATAAAAGACTAGGAAAAATATTGCATGGCTTAGTTGCATCAGTGCTGTTGAACAGAGATACTTTTTAATTTTTTAACACGCTGACTATGTCCCACCAAGGCAGGGTGACCCGAAAAAGAAACACTTGCACCATCATTTACACTATCTCTGTCTTGCCATAAGTGCACAGATGTGACAGTTCAGAAGTCTCTCCAAACAGCAAATATCCCAAACCCTTCTTTTAAAGTGCAGGCATTGTACTTCCCATATGCAGGACTCAAGTCCAGCTACCTGGTTTCCCTGAATCCCTTCACAAAATATTACCCTGCTCACACTCCAACAATTCGTCAGGTCCCAAAAACTGGCTCCAAATCACTCCCATCTAACATGCTGTTATGACAACGAATTTCTCCCAGAGTCTGAAGAACGCTGGTTCAGTGATTCTGTGTGAAAATTTAATTCGAGTACCATTCTCCTCTGGCTTGTATAATTTTTGTCATTGTTTTGTGAAAATAATAATAATAATAATAATAATAATAATAATAATAATAATAATAATAATAATAATAATAATCTTTTTAGAGAAGTCAGTCTACCCATTTTTTTAATGGTTCCCTAAATTTTTTTTAATTTAAATATGGAGAACTCATTAAATACTACTAAATTAAGCACTTTTACTCTACATTAATGTTTTTAACCAAAAAATACCATAATTTTAAAGATTTTTTTTCCTAAAAATGGGTAACTTGGAGGTTTTCATTTAGGTAGGGACTGCATAACCCCGTGTGGGTTTAATACTTTCTCATGAACATCATTCTAGTAGTACAGTGGACCCCGGTTTACGATATTATTTCATTCCAGAAGTATGTTTAGGTGCCAGTACTGAACGAATTTGTTCCCATAAGGAATATTGTGAGTTAGATTAGTCCATTTCAGACCCCCAAACATACACGTACAAACACATTTACATAAATACACTTGCATAATTGGTCGCATTGGGAGGTGATCATAAAGTGGGGGTCCACTGTATTTTCATTCAGGTTATGATATTCCAATCAAACAGTATTTGCTGACTAGTGGACAGCCAACAATCATTAATAATTATATTTTTATAGCACCTTTGTGTAAATTTAGGATTAGTAATCTCTCTTGCAAAGCTTCTCTATACTGTATAGTAAATATTTTTTGTAAATGCGACTGAACAGTTATGTCCAGAATTGAACAGTGCATGGAAAGGCCTTCATAGTACATGCCATTCAATTTTCAGCTGTACTTTTTCAATCGCATTTGCAAAAGGATTGCTCCACGTAGAAGGTGGCTTATGATGGCTGTCCGTATTTTCCACATCCACTCTGGATAAATTCCATATGTTCAACATTTCTGTATGTCAACGAAAATGTTAATATTTCAAAAAGATGTATGTAATTGTCATTGTATATATACTGTATATAGATTTATTTTTTGGAATGCAAGCCCCCCAAAAAATATGAGTTGTATGAAGGTAATTCATCATAGTTTTGATGTTGAATGTATGATTTATTGAATCATGCAGTTATTGACTGGTATGAAGATTTGGAGTAAAAGACACAAGTGAAGTACTATGCTTTTTTTGTGACAGTATTTTGCTTTATGTAAAGCTTTAGCAGATAAAGCTTTGTGCAAATCTTTAAAGGTTCGCACAAAGCTTTGTCAAAGTCTTAATGACTAGATGAAGCTTTATGAAAGTATTAACCCTCAAACTGTCCAAACGTAGATATACGTTGACGTGCGGCAGGCTCCGAACGTAGATCTATGTTTTTTACATGCTTTCAAATGGGGAAAATCAAGGTCGGAGCACTACACACGTGAACGTTGATCTACGTTTGGACAGTTTAAGGGTTAATGGCTAGATAAAGCTTTATGAAAGTCTGAATGGCTAGATGAAGCTTTATGCAAGGCTTCAGCATTTTCACACAAAGAAGCTTACTCTTCACATACCTGTCTCTTGCTTCATGCTGTCAGCATCTTCCTCTTGCAGCCTATTTAGGAATCTCATTCATTCCACTTTTACCGGGACAGTCTCAGTTTATTTATTTTTTTTAGAGCTCTGTCCTGGTGTCCCACCAAATTGTTTATATAATAATTTGTAGTTTGTTACAAATTATTTTTTTTTGAGTGATGGGTCTCCGAATTAACTTTTATCAATTGTCCCGGGTTTTGGTTTTTAAAAAATGGGATTCCTAATCCTATTATGAAGAGTCAGCTCTCTTATAAGCTCATCTATTTAGTATAATTTTTCATAAATGTGATTGAAAAGTGCTTTGAAAATTGAACAGAACATACTATTAAGACCTTTCTACGTGGTAATTAATTTTGGATATACATTTTTAGTTACATTCATGAAAAATTGCATTGTATAGAGGAACTTTATAAGGGAGAGCTGACTATATATATGTAGTAGTTTGTAATGTATAGATTGTGATATACATTATTTTATGCATGAAAACACAGTATCTTACCCTACATAATGGACATACCTGTCATCAGTTGCGAGGGCTATTCTATCCTTGTATCATGGACTGAGGCCAGGCTACCCTGCTGGCCTCCTGGTCAACTAGGTTGAAAATAAATGGTATAAAATACCGACACAATGGAAACAAACACATATGCAGTTTAATGTGATCCTTTATTGATAATGTTTTGCCCACACAGTGGGCTTTTTCAAGTCACAAACAGATCTCTGTTTGTGACTTGAAAAAGTCCACTGTGTGGGCAAAACGTTGTCAGTAAAGGATCACATTAAACTGCATGTGTGTTTATGTTTCCATGGTCAACTAGGTTGTTTGTGCTCGTGAATCAGAGGCCAACATAGTTCTCTCAACCCAGCAGATGTGGAATTTTTCTGGAATTAGTGGCTCAGTTCATCCTCAGAATTATTGACCTTTGTTAATTATGACTTTTTTTTTTTATTTCTGCTGGTAATCTAATAATAATGAGTTGTAATTCTATGTCCTTTATTTAATTAAAGAATTTGAATAAAATGCTGAAACTAACGATGAACGTTTTAGTGAAACCCTTGTTGAATTAATTGATAATGGTCTGTTTATGTTTGCTCAGTCAGGTTACTCCACTGTAATAACTAAGACATCTTTATTAATCAAAAATTTTGTCTGCACAACAGTTTTCTTCAGCTGAATACTCAAGAGGCAAATATAACACTGCAGACAACATAAGCAGTTTTCAGGTGATCAGTCCCTCAGTCTTGTTAGACTTGGGGATTTATCAGTGTTGAATTTTTTTAATTTTACAATGATGTATGTTTCAATAATAAGATATCAAATTAGACAAGATAAATTAATAACGATAGCAGCAAACTGGCTATGATAATAGCAATTTGATAGCATTTTTACATTCAAGGTGCTGAGTAACCAGTGGGTTGTACCCTTGTGGGTTTAGCACCGAGTTCTGATTTTAATATTAATAACCAGTGGGTTAAGAGATAAAATAAGATTTTGTTTTGATTTTTTTAACCTCTGAGAGTTAGCCACCCAGGATAACCCAAGAATATCAGTGTGTCATCGAGGGACTGTCTTATTTCCATTGGGGTTCTTAAATCTTGCCCTAGAGGATGCGATCTGCACCAGTCAACTAGCACCCAGGTACCTGCTTGCTTGCTAGGTGAATGGGAAAGCAGGTGTAAGGAAACACACCCAATGTTTTTTACCCTTGCCAAGGATCAAACTATGGACACTTAGTGTGTAAGACGAGAGCGTTGCCTACCAAGCCACGGGACAAATGTTGCATCCTTGTGGGTTTAACGCTTATTTCTGTATGTAATAATAATATTAACCAGTGGTTTGTACTCTGATAATGAAGGGCTCTTGATCAAAAGAATTCAAGTTACCTTCCGTTCCCTGGGAGTGAATGCGACTACCTCCCATTTCCCAGGCACTATATGACTCACGTAGATTTAGGTTTAGAATGTATATTGATGCTGGTGAAGTGCTCTTCAGTGAAGAAATTGAAGCTACCCTTTGAACTGTAGTATCAGTGATCCTCTGGCGAGATAGTGATGGAGCAAGTGATGATGTAAATATTTCTTATTTTTTGGGTTACCCTGCAGCGCTGTATAGCCCTTGTGGCTTAGCGCTTCTTTTTGATTATAATAATAATTTGGGTTACCCTACCTTGGAACGGCCAATGTGTTGATTTTTTTTTTTACCTCAACTGCTGTCTTTCACCAGGACTGGGTGACCATTGTTCATTCAATCACTGTCTTGCCAGAAGCAGCTGACATCACACTTCAGATAACCACCTACTGTGGTATTCCCTCCCCTTCCCCAGAGTGCAGGCACTGACCTTCCCACCTCCAGGAAAGGTGTATACATTTAAAGGTGTATGCCTCTTGGTTATATATTTTACACACACACACACACACACACACACACACACAACATGACCCAGCTGGAAAATTTTCGGAGAATAGGGGGGTTTGTAAAAAAAAGAACCCGGCCAGTGAAAGTGACCTTCAAGGTAGAATCGACTCGGAACAGGATCCTGCAGGAGAAAGCATGATTAAGGGACATGCCGGCATACAGGAAGGTGTATCTTGACCGCGACAGAACACAAGCAGAAAGGCAGAAACAGAGAGATGGTACGGAGGCGAAAGGAGGAAAGAGAGGGGATGGAGAAGACAGACAGGAGATCCCAGACACAGGAAGATCAAATACAGCCTCCCTCACAACTTCCTATAGAAGCCTCCCAACCAGGTCAACCCCAGTGCAACCAAACACTCTAAACCAAAACACCCATGCCACATCCAATGCCCCCACCCACTGCATTACAAACTCCACCCCCACAGCAACCACCCATAGTTCCTTATCAGGTCTCCCACTTCCCCAACCCCAATACACCTCCCAGACCACAATCTTAGAAAAGAAGTTGAAGGTGTGGTATACAAATGCAGATGGAATAACAAATAAGTATGAGGAGTGGCACGAAAGAATCAAGGAGACATCCCCAGACATAATAGCACTCACAGAAACAAAACTCACCAGAATAATAACAGATTCAATCTTTCCACCCGGATATCAAATCCTCAGAAAGACAGAGGGAGGAGAGGGGGAGGAGGAGTTGCACTGCTCATTAAAAACCAGTGGGGTTTGAGAAAATGGAAGGAATGGATGGCATGGGCGAAAGGGACTACTTAGTAGGAACAATCCAGTCTGAGGGACATAAGGTGATAATTGCAGTAATGTACAACCCACCACAGAACTGCAGGAGGCCAAGAGAAGAATACGATGAGAGCAACAGAGCAATGGTCGACACACTAGCCGAGGTGGCCAGGAGAGCACACATGGGGGGAGCAAAGTTACTAGTTATGGGTGATTTCAATCACAAGGAGATTGACTGGGAAAACCTGGAGCCCCATGGGGGTCCCGAAACATGGAGAGCCAAGATGATGGATGTGGTACTGGAAAACCTCATGCATCAACATGTTAGAGACACTACCAGAGAGAGAAGAGAGGAAGAACCAGCAAGACTGGACCTTGTATTCACCTTGAGTAGTTCTGACATCGAGGATATCATGTATGAAAGGCCCCTGGGAGTTAGTGATCATGTGGTTCTGTGCTTCGACTACATAGTTGAGCTCCAAGTGGAGAGAACAGCAGGAATACATAACATAAATGACCTACCAAATGCTTCGCAATTACTCAAACCCACACTTTTTGCAGATGACACTACATACGTCTTCTCTCACCCGAGCCCAGTCACGCTAGCCAATACTGTAAACACCGAATTACAGAAAATATCTACCTGGATGAGGACTAACAAACTTACACTAAACATTGACAAAACCTACTTCATTCAGTTTGGTAACAGAGCTACAGATGTACCTCTTAACATAGCAATAAACGGATCACCTATCACAAAGTTAAGAGAGGGAAAATTCTTAGGAATCCACCTCGATAATAGACTCAAATTTCATACACATATACAACAAATTTCTAAGAAAATTTCCAAGACTGTAGGCATACTATCGAAGATACGGTACTATGTTCCACAGTCAGCCCTCCTGGCCCTTTATCACTCTCTTATTTACCCCTATCTCACCTATGGAATTTGTGCATGGGGCTCAACAACAATTAACCATCTCAGACCACTAATTACCCAACAAAAGACTGCAGTTAGAATAACAAATTCTCACTACAGGCAACACACTCCACCAATATTCAAAACACTCAACCTACTCACCATACAAAACATCCATACTTATTATTGCACCAATTACATACATAGAACACTTAACTCTGATATTAACCCTCCCCTCAAACATCTCCTTGCCAACCTCAACAGAACACATGACCATAACACAAGGCACAGATCACTCTTTGATGTTCCTTGTGTCCATCTCACGCTATGCAAAAACTCAATGCACATAAAAGGCCCTAAAATCTGGAATTCATTACCCGTAAATATAAAAGAAACACTACCTGTTTATAAATTCAAGTCTCTTCTCAAAGTTCACTTACTCACTCAAAACCAAATAAATACTGAATAACTGAACCTTATAAATTGTATATCCAAAATGTTACTCACAATTAAATCACATAAATGTTAAACCTAGGACCCAATCTAACTTTGTTATTTTTTTAAATACACTACCTAACAGAATACTCCATTCTACTGAATGAACAGCAATGCATGCAACCATATGACCTGTCTTTGTAATACTCATTTGTATTTTATAGTTATCTGTTTACAATAATGTCTTATCACTGATTTCATCATTGCTTAGTTAATCTTAAGTTAATTTTAAGCCAGCCCGTAATGCTATACATATAAGTGGCTTTGGCATGCTGCTCTTACCTGTATTTTTTTGTACCTCTGTATGTATGCTAAAATTTCTAAATAAATAAATAAATAAATAAATAAATATGCACAGATAAGAAGGGAGGCTCAGCGGCAATACGAAAATGACATAGCATCGAAAGTCAAGACTGACCCGAAGCTGTTGTACAGCCACATCAGGAGGAAAACAACAGTCAAGGACCAGGTAATCAGACTGAGGAAGGGTGATGGGGAATTCACAAGAAACGACCGGGAGGTATGTCAGGAGCTCAACACAAGATTTAAAGAAGTATTTACAGTGGAAACCAGTAGGACTCCAGGAAATCAGAGCAGGGGGGTGCACCAGCAAGTGCTGGATGAGGTACATATAACCAAGGAGGAGGTGAAGAAGCTGCTATGCGAACTTGACACCTCAAAGGCGGTGGGACCAGACATCTCTCCGTGGGTCCTTAAAGAGGGAGCAGAGATATTGTGTGTACCGTTAACAAAGATCTTCAACATCATTTGAAACTGGGCAACTCCCTGAGGTATGAAAGATGGCAAATGTAGTCCAAATTTTTAAAAAGGGAGACAGACATGAGGCACTAAACTACAGACCTGTATCACTAACGTGTATAGTATGCAAGGTCATGGAGAAGATCATCAGGAGGAGAGTGGTGGAGCACCTGGAAAGAAACAAGTGTATAATTGACAACCAGCATGGTTTCAGGGAGGGAAAATCCTGTGTCACAAACCTACTAGAGTTTTATGACAAGGTGACAGAAGTAAGACAAGAGAGAGAGAGGTGGATCGACTGCATTTTTTTTGGACTGCAAGAAGGCCTTCGACACAGTTCCTCACAAGAGGTTACTGCAAAAGCTAGAGGATCAGGCACACATAACAGGAAAGGCACTGCAATGGATCAGAGAATACCTGACAGGGAGGCAACAACGAGTCATGGTACGTGACGAGGTGTCAGAGTGGGCGCCTGTGACAAGCGGGGTTCCACAGGGGTCAGTCCTAGGACCTGTGCTGTTCTTGGTATATGTGAATGACATAACGGAAGGGATAGACTCAGAAGTGTCCTTGTTTGCGGACGATGTGAAGTTAATGAGAAGAATCAAATCGGATGAGGATCAGGCAGGACTACAAAGAGACCTGGACAGGCTACAAGCCTGGTCCAGCAATCTGGCTCCTTGAGTTTAACCCTGCCAAATGCAAA